TCTTCTTCTTCTTCTTCTTCTTCTTCTTCTTCTTCTTCTTCTTCTTCTTCTTCCTCTTCTTCGCATTCCCCTGCTAGATCTCAGGTGTAGTTGACTGCTGGTTCTTGAACCTGCAGTGCAACTGATTTTTACGTCGGCCCTATGTGGCCGTTTTCCCCACTTAATAGGGCCCCTTGTCAGGCAGCCACATTCCAATTTCGAAGGTACTCTCTCTATCTTTATACTAACTAGAGAATATTCAGTATTGGTAGGCAGGGCCTACCTCTACACCACGAGAGTCCCCAACTGGGTGACTGAGTGAGTTATCAAGTGAGTGAAGGGAGAATGCTGTGTTTTTTGTTTGTTTGTTTGCTTGCTTATTTTGTTATTGTTTTCATGTTTTCCTAGACGCAAGGTCATTTTAAAAGCAGAACTGATCGCACCCCTCACCCATCTCTTTCTAGACTTGTACCCTCGGTTCACAAACATGCACAATAGATTACATGTATTATTTCACAGGCTATAATATATCGTTATGTCGTACTTACACATACATGTATATCGATACAATTTAAAACATTTAAAAGGCGGACCGCTCGGGTCTCCACATCTCAGCAAAAAGACAGAGATACTCCATAAAAATATAATTTTCTTCCTTGGAATGGAACTTGAGTCATGTAAAAGGCGAAGAACACAGACAGTAAACAACATCGCCTCGTCGAACAACAGTCGCCGGGTCGGATGAAAGGGGGTGGGAGGTTTGGGGGGGGGGGGTAAATTACCATCTAAACAACAAATACCTACAATACAGAATAGGCCTTGTCTTCAGATTGGGATTCGATCCTTTCTTGTGACATACTTTGCATCCAAAAAAAATATTAAGTGAAATTAGGTGTATACATGTATACTTTTTCAACATAAAATGTATCAGAAACTTACCGTGGTGGGAGCTTTGCTGCACTAAAACCAGTCTGATGATATCTGCTCTCTTTGACAACCTTCACCAGTGTCTCTAAAGCTTCTGCTCCTTCAACCTTCTCAGTCTTCTTGGCAGACGAAGTATGAACAGTCCGCTTCTCTTACATGTATGTATATACATGTATTATACCGGATTTCAAGTCACGAGAAGTCTCTTAGTCACCAGGGACAGGTTTCTCCCCAGCGATATTTTCCTCGGAAAGATGGTTGGCTGCATTACGTTAGTTTGCCACATGAACTTTTTCCTTCGTATGCAAAATTCATTTTCCGCGGAAACTATTTTGTAAGGGGCACGAAGGTTATACAGAATTATAGGAGCGGAGACGATAGGAGGCAGCACTGTGGGCGGCAACGCACGCCTGATAGAAGCCCTCTCACGCAGCGGAACCATAGTCGACCTGCGCTGCGCGCTGCCCGACTCTCGCACTGAAATCTAGATGGGAAAGAAGGTTTTATTCTGAGGTCGTTAAGATTAGGCAAGTCAGTAGACATTATTAATGTTATAAAACCCATTTATCTCAATTGTTTTACTAGGTAGGCCTACCGCAGGCGGGCCGTTTTGAAGGCAGACAGCCACGGCTGGAGCCTGATTTGGACAACTTCATCCAAATAAAATGATACCACTGTTTTCTGTGTCTTTCCTTCTTAATGGTGAACGAGGAACTGATACTTATGATTGCATATTTAGCTTTTAATTGACTAAAGTTTAACACGGGAAAACTGGACCGTCTCGCAATTTTGCGCGCTTAGATTTGGGGGGTAGGCTACTTGTTTTAAATTTCGATTTCTCAGACGTGAATCATCGAATTTTCTTGCGGTTTGAAACATAAAAATCTGGGATTTCGGGAGAATTTCCGGGGAATGTGTTCTCCTTCTTTCTTTCTTCTTTCTTCTTCTACCTCTTCTTCCACCGCCGACCTCAAGTGGAGAAAAACTAGAGGTCACCCATCCCACAAAGTGGACGTCTCGTTGACCATGAGGTGTGGCCCGTGCGGAGGGAAACCAGGTGCCTGGCGGTTGAGGTGACATCAGTCTGCAGACTGTCCCTCACAAACAAACCTCTTTGTCCCAGGTTTTTCTCTTAGAAGGGAGGTTGGCACGGCCCATGTCACTTAATCGATTGGGAGCTGAAACGCCTTCAGTCCCTGGGTCAATCTTGACGGGAGGGTCTCATACACTCTCGTGAAGAGTACAGCTTTAAAGTAAATTAGTTAACAAACCGTGGAGTGAACTTTTGCGAAAAGTAAACAACTTGTGTTTCGCGCGCTCATATGACCTTAGCAGTTTCGAGCGCCGTAAAACCCTATACTACATACATACATACATACATACATACATACAGAGTACAGCTCCGGGGTATCCCTGGCACGGCTCTGGATATCTGAGTGATGTGTCCCCTTGTTGGGCTCGGTGGCGGGCGAGGAGCCCTGGAGTCGAACCAACCACACATTTCTCACTGACATCAAAAAAACAAAATGACCCTTTCCCAGCTCCCAACGTGAACAAAAAGTCTCAGCTCGCGAAAGCGGGTGTGGCCGCCGAGCCGAGCAAATCAACCCCCAACGGAAAACGGACCTTTACCGCTGCCTCTGCCCTTCCTCTTCCAAGGGAGCTTCCGTGGCAGCTGTACGTGGCCATCTCCAGTAAAGCAGTCGCACAGAAGAAGATCACAGATCTGAATCTTTCGAAGACAGGAGATGCACTGCGACAAGTTCTGGGATACAACCCCACGAATGCCCAAAAGCTGTCCTCTGGTGCACTCCTTGTCTTTACTCTATATATACACAGCCCTTAGCAAGCATTTTACAAAATCATGGATTGAAGTATCATTTTTATACTGATGATTCCCAAATGTATGTTAATGGCACCAATCAAGATCTGCCAAACATGATTTCTATCACTAAACAAAGTTTTTATGAAATTAAAAAGTGGATGACAGAAAACAAATTGAAACTAAACGAAGAAAAAACAGACTTCATTCTTATAAATAATCCACGACTAAATAGAGATCTGGAAAGTGTCAAAATTGATTATGATTTATATGGGCATATAACATTTAGTAAAGAAGTTGTCAAGAATCTCGGTATATATATTGACCACCACTTATCAATGGGTTTGTTTGTTTGAGCTCTGTCCAAATCCCTTTATTTTCAGCTGAGAAGGATAGGCCCAGTTCGAAAGTATTAAAACGAAGAGACCACAAAAACATTAGTAACATCTTAACCTATCTAGATTAGACTATTGTAACCCACTCCTAGCAGGTCTAAACAACAAATATTTGATGCGTTTACAAGTCATTCAAAACAATGCCGCTACACTGATACAGGTAACAAGATCTAAAAAACGAAACAATATGACTCCACTATTAAAACAACTGCACAGGCTCCCTGTAAAAGTTTGAATAATGTTTAAAATATCAGTCATGCGTTTTAAATGGGTAAATAAAATTGCTCCTTTTTATGTTCAAGAACTTATCAGTATATACTCAGGGAGAAACCTAAGATCATCAAACGATAACACCCTACTTGTGACACCCGTAAAATCATAATCATACCAATCATATGGAGAAAGATCTTCCTCATATCTTGGTCCATTTATGTGGAACAGATTACTCATGGAATTAAGACAAACAAGAACACTTGATAGCTTCAAAAGACATGTTAAGCATTTTCTGTTCCTAAGGGCCTATCCTTCATAAGCTTTTAGCGTTACTTTTTTTATTGTAGTTGCCCTGTGCCTACGTCTGAAGTCTGAATGAAAATAGTCCGTGTGTGTGTGTGTGTGTGTGTGT